ATGGTGATGATGGTGATGTTGATGGTGATGATGTAGATGGTGATGATGGAGATGGTGATGGTAATGATGAAGATATTGTTTTAATGGTGTCATTTATGATGAAGATGGTGATGAAGAAGATGATGATGATAATGAAGATGATGATGGTGATGATGATGATAAAGATTGTGATGATGGTGATGAAGATGGTGATCATGATGTTAACGATGATGATGAAGATGGTGATGAAGATGGTGATGGTGATGATGAAGATAGTGTTGAAAATGATGAAGATAGTGATGAAGATGATGATGGTGAAGATGGTGATGGTAATGATGATGATAGTGATGAAGATAGTGATGAAGATGATTATGGTGATGATGATGAAGATGTCGGCGATGATGAAGATGGTGATGATAATGAAGATGACGGCGATGATGATGGTGATGAAGATGATGACGAGGAGAAGGATAAAGAGAAGGAGGAGGAGGATGTTGATGCTGATGACAAAGATGGTGTTGTCGACGACAGGGCTTACTGTAAAGTAATAGCCAGACATCTGACAATGTCTAGTCAGAACTGGGACTTGTCTGGTCAAATGTTTGCCTTTCCGGTCATTTTGATCAGTAAAGTTTAGTCACAAATCAGGTATGGCCAAGCTAATACTAATTTAGCCTTTGATCATGACCGGCGACTCATTGGCCGTTAATTTAACTTTTGTGAACATGTCGATGGTAATGTTGATTGCACGCGTGATTTTTTACACTGCCTTTGATCCTTAACAAATGCCACGACCCTCGATCACCTCTCCCTGCGATTATATTTAGATTCATTCATTTTCTCTTGCAGTATGACCTCGAACGGCTGAAAGTAATGTGCGAAGAGGCATTATGTAATAATCTAACAGTGGATAATGTATGTGATGTACTCATCTTAGCTGATATGCATAGCGCAAAGCAACTGAAAGGACAATCCCTTGACTTTATCAATAGGTAGGAACCTCGTCACCTTATTTCTCTTCTTGTCTTAGTTCATCCTCATTACTGCGATTTTCACAAACATGCGAACTCTGTGTCTCCGAGTTGCACGCTGAAATTTGTTTTTTCAGCGTCGGCAGCTCGCAGACGCAGAGTTCACATGTGCATGAAAATCGCATAATTTTCCTTCAGTTATTCCAGTCCTACTGGATATCCTGAGTATTCTACGGGGTTCCTGTCCCTTGGTGCTTACACCCATTTTTGTAATTACGCGACCAAGATGTTCGGGTTTATGGCTTCCATCAGTCAAAAACATACTGCACATATCCATGTTTTAAATAACAAAGTTAGTATATAGTTATAACATAGTTTGAAGTTCAGTTCCTTTGCGACCAAGGACTGTTGTGGACCTGCTCGGACCGTTACAAGTTTGATTGACGGAAGCCAAAACCCCAGACGTCTCGAATTATAGCTAGTTGGGTCCCATAACAATGAAAATGGATTTCTAACTGCTGGTTGCATTTGACGCCATTTCCTGTCTCGTGCGGAATAATCATCCGCAGAACCACAATTTTTTTTGTTTTTTTTTTTGTTTTTTT